AACTCTCTCATGTATTGGCGCAATTCCACTTTCCCAATTAACATTCTTTAAGCAGAATAAATACAACAGTAGTATTTTTACTCAGCGAACAGTAAATGAAATAGAGGTGGGTAGAACCATCCTTTCAATAAAGTCGGGAGCGTCAGGGGAAGATAATATAAATGCGGATATAGTTTTATTGTCACTGCCGCACACTCACACAGAGGTAGCTCTGAATATTATCAACAAATCCATTTCTTCCTCGACATTTCCGCTTGGCTGGAAGACCGCTCTGATTACGCCCTTACCCAAAAATTTCGAATCCTAATAATTATAAAGACCTTAGACCAATTAGTTTACTGCCCTATCTATCCAAAGTACTGGAAAGGATAGTATTTTGGCAACTGACTGCGTTTTTGGATAGAAATAAAATTCTACCTGAAGTGCAGTATGGTTTCAGAAAAGGCCTCAGCACTTCAACTGCTCTTTCAGAAGTGGTAGACAATATACTAGACGCTCAGGATAAGGGTATGGCCACTATACTGACTCTACTCGATTTTTCACGAGCGTTCAACTCTATCAGTATCCCGTTACTGCTTGCCAAACTTACATACTATGGTTTCACACAGCCACAGTAAAATGATTCAGTAGTTACTTGACTGATAGGACTCAAATTATCAAAGTTCAGGAGTTGAACGGCCATATCTCCAGATCTTCTGTAATGAGTGTGCATAGAGGCGTACCACAAGGATCGATATTAGGACTCATTCTTTTTGTTTTGTACTCTGCGAATATCATAAAGAATGTGAAATACTGCAAGTGTCGTCTTTATGCGGATCATGTCCAAATCTATATTCATACGAGTCCACAGGATTTAAATCTGTCTCTTTCGAGGATCAACTCCGATCTTGATAGTATTGCCCGATGGTCAAATCATAATTTTTTGATTCTAAATCCAACTAAATCTAAGTTTATGGTTCAAAAAACTAGGTTGTAAGCATTCTATCACACAATCTTAGGATTAGTATTCTTGGATCATCGGTCTAATTTGATAACCAGGCCAAAAATTAAGGTGTCACTGTGGACAGTGGGTTGCGATTTGTGAGACATGTAGAGTCTATTGCCAGATCTTGCCTCTTTCGACTAAAGATATTATATAAAATTCGGCATTTACTCATTGAAGGTATTAGATTAAAAATGTGTGAACCTCTTATTTTATCACAATTGAACTATGCGTATACAGTTTTCGGTCCCTGTCTTCTCGCTACCTCAAAAAAATTAATACAACGTGTTCAAAACGCCTGCATTCGTTTCTGTTACAAAATTCCACCGAGGAGTCACAACACCTTTACTAAACCTACACGGTATTCTTAATATGAAATCTAGAAGGACTGCATTTTTCTACTTTGATGCACTCTGTTGTTAGATACAAAAGTCCACCTTATCTATATGCCAAGTTAAAATGGCGGATTTATTCCTATAATTCACGCAGAGTTAATAGTTTTTTTATTGGTAACGCCATTCCATAAAACAAGAGCCTTTGAGGATAGCTTCCGGTATCAGGCATCTAAATGCTGGAACAATCTGCCTCCTCCACTTAGACAGCCAATCTCAAAATTCGCATTTAGAAAAAGTATGAAAAATCTATTGATAGAAAACCAGCGTAAGCCCTGATGCCGGATGTTCCTAACTCTGGTCTTCTAACTTATTTATATTTATGTATATTTACATGTATCACACGTGTATTGTAAAAGTGAAGTGTGGCATAAAGCAGAGGATACACAGAGCATGTACCATTTCCTTAGGTCTCACCCGACGCTGAAACAGGAACGACTGAAAATCAACGTCTGTCTCGCGGGAGATAGACATATTGCTGAGTCGTATCCTTTTCTTCTTTTGCGCCACTATACACACTTACTAATTTAAAATCACGCAGCCATTATGTTTTAGTGTTAAGTATTAGATTTAAGTGCGTATAGTGACTCAATTTAATGAATAAACGTTTTTCTTTCTTTCTTTCAAAAATAAAACAAACATATGAAAATTCTTAGTTATTTATTCAGAGAAAAGAAAGTTCATAATTTTTTTGTTCATATATCAATATCATTTAAAAAATATGGACATGAACAGGTAGTGTTGAAAAAAAAAATATCGAAAATATAATAACATATAATTGCATTTTAGCCTAGCCCATTTAATGATAATAATTACAGCATTACTACAATTTTAATGATAATTATCTTAACTATGTACGATACATTAACGAAGCTTTTAAAAAATCGAAATGAACAACATTTTTGCACTCGTATTGCACAGTTAAAAATAGCATAAATATTGTTACCGATTACTGTATTTAAAAACATCTACCTAATCATCTTATTAATTCATTACATTTTTTAAATATAAAAATAAGAAAACAAATTTGGTTTTACATGAAAACAATTGCTTTGTTGGAATGCGATTGAGTATTATATTTACTGCATTTGTTGTCATGCGAAATATCTTCGTGTAGCGAATTTCACTCTATTTTATTTGTGACTGACTCGATACCTTGCTGCCAATAGATATGCCTTTGAATTTATGTCAAACCAGGTAAACAGTAAAAAGTCATCGGTTTCCATTGCTGTATTTTTTCAGATACATAACTCGTAAACTGGTGATAGCTTAAGTGACAAGCCGCTCTTAGCAGATATTGTTTTTGGAAATTCAGATATAAAACATCACAATTAACTGCAATTTCATTTGGCAATTAAAATTACATTTATTACCAATCCTTTCAAAATGTTGTCTACTAGGACAATTGAGCTGGCTTAAACTGTCACCCATTTAAATATTGTTATAACAACTATGCAGATATCATCATCATCAACTCATTTATACGTCCCATTGCTGGGCACGTGGCTGCTCTCACGTGAGGTTTTTGGCCATAGTCCGCCACGCTGACCCAATGCGGGTGGGGATTTCACACGTTTTCAGAGGGTTGTAAACCTTCTTCGCCACACAGGTTTCATCACCGAAAAACTCATGGTAAATTTCTAGTTAAATTTCGCACATAAATTCCGAGAAACTTGAAGGTGCGAGCCTGGATTCGAACCCACGACACTCGGCTTGAGAGGCGGTAGGTCAAACCATTAAGCTACCACGGCTTCACTATGCATACACTGTATTACAATTTACAGTAATAATTGTATACTGAGTAAAAGAAAAACATTTTTCGTATGTCGACCTTAGTTTGCATAAATTAATCTTATTCTGTGGGTACGACAGTTTAAATTGTATAATACTGCCCTCCTTGTCATAATTAGTGCTAGTTTTTTTCCCGATGTGATATATATCACATCGGGAAAACCCGGAATTCGCGAACGCTGTTGTCGCGTCTACATGTTATCGTGTTATTCACTGATGTATTTAAAACAACGAAATAAGAAACTATTAACGTTGTCAATGACTTTGACGTTAAATATTTACTAATAAAGTTTCATATTACATTGTCATAAATACATCAGTTATTAATGCAATAAGTTATAGACGCGGCAATCGCAAATAATCGTGAAATATTCGCGGCTTCTGGAATTTCCCGATGTGCAATATTTACAGCGTGGTACTGTACGATGATTTTGCTTAGTAATAAAACTGTGACTAAATGAGATATTAAAAACCGCTTAAAGATAGATAAGATAGAAACGACAGATATGTTATTAACTCACTTTCGGTAACAATGTCGATTACATTAGTTAAGGAGGACAGATTACATACACGTAAATTTACATTTGTGCGCAGTCATAGGAATCCGTAGTAGCGATTCTATTTTTATAATAATCCTTAGTGGAAGTACTTTGGATTACACATACACGAATGATCTAATTATCTCTTTGTGTTTGAACGTACCGTATAATCAACATAATTTCGAAAAAAGTTGAGTTTCAGTAATTTTTTAATACTAACGCGAGGTCAGGAGTGTAGCGGGTGGAGGTTTATAGTCCCTGGCTACCCCACGAGGAAGCGTAGGTATGTAGATTCATGGACGTATCAGCATGGTTCTATGTGTGCATCGGGCGTACCAGTAAAATTTGAGACAGGTTTCCCATTTCGTAGGAATGAAAGATAAGTTATTTTGTATTGTGGATTATTGGTAGGAACTTGAGCCATGGTGATTGGCATTGAATTTCGAACGAAACTTTCAAGTGACAACAAAGTGGAATGATCGAAGCCTCAGTTTTAAATGTCTTTTGTCTATGACCAGTAAGTAAAATTAAGTAATATGTTATTCCTGAAATTTAGTAGGTATACTTATCTAATCATTGCAATTTTAATTTTACTTAAACTCATGCTGAGGGTAATTTTGAGCACTATTAAAAATAAAAAGATTTATAGTCTACTTACGAAGGTATTTACAAAGTATCTTAATTAATACGGTCGACAACTATTTAAGAGAGACAACATTCCAAAATGTACGTAAAATACCAGCACCCGTATGCGGCTAAAGTTTAAATCTAAATTGAACGAATCTCACTTTAGTTTTTTTTTTTTTCAGTTATCCAATCCCGAATACCTATTAGCTAACAAGCGATGAAATCTTTTTGAAATGTTGTCGACACTTAACTAAAATTTACAGCGTTAATGTAATGGAATTTACCGCCTAAATACAGTCGTGAGGTACTAACTATGGTACAATAATTTACAAAAGCTTATTTTAAATGATATGCAAATAAGCTATAGGTATAATTATAGCCCGCGGGTGTTGTCTGATTCAAAATTATGAACTAAACCTTATGCTATTAACTTACAAACTTTTGACGTTTCTATCGTTAGAGTTCGATTGATAATATTGTAGAAGAGAAAAGTCCCTGATACCTCGTCAGGATATTTTTAGAACGGGACATCGTTCAAAATACCTAAAATCATAGAATTTATTAATCTATTTAGAAATGGTCTTTAAAATTTAAGCTAACTGCAAATGCATCGATCCAGTGCCACAAGCACCAAGTATTTGGCACAATTATTTAAGTATTAAATTCATACAGTAGTACATTAATAATATGTCCAAAAATAAAAAAAAGTCTACAATGTTTAATAAATATTGTAAGAATTGTTTGAGTATTAATTACACAATGTCGAAAATCAATTAGTTGGTCGGTAATACAAAATTTCATGAAAGTCTTGTAATCCGTATACAATTCTCAATAACTACTGCCGCTAAAAAAATTTAAAATATTTTACCTCGTATTTACAACACTTAAGCGTGCAGCCCTAACTTAATTAAAGAGTCCAAAAAAAAATATCGAATCGCTATACCAGTTAACGATAACAAAAAAAAATGCTAAACTTAACAACAGAGTTTTTTAGAACTCAAATCAAACAAACGTTTTGAACAATCATAGGTCATAACGTAACCACCAAAACCAAAGTCTTTGAAAATCTAGTCTCTCTGGACTATCTCTTGTAACCACAGCGTGGTTATGAACCGGCTGAGTACCAGTTTGTATTTGGTGGAGCAGATTTATCTACTGGTTGATGAGAGTGAGTGGCGTGCGCCGAATGCGCCTGAGGGTGATACAGGTGAAAAGATGAAGGCGGATGAAAAAACTGTGACTGATCTATAGACGACGCGTAATCTAAAGCCCCAGGCACAGCTGAATATGCCTGTGGCTTTAACGGCAGTGGCGCTTCTCCTAAATAAGAATGTCTCAAGGCTTCCGAGTAGGCACTATTATCGTACGACAAAGCGTACTGCTGCTTATCTCTAGGCGACACTGACCCTGGAGGAGTCATTGCAGAGTGGTAGTCGCCATACCCACCGTAAGCTAAAGAGCCTATTTCCGTTCCTTTGTGACCTAGTTGCTCACCATATCCAGAACCTTCGCTACCCGGTGGAGTGGGCAAAGGTCCACTTTGGCCGTCACTGGAGTAGTATCCGCCTGTTCTACCATCGCCCAAAAAATTGCTTCGAATTACACTTTCCCTATTGGCATACAATTGTCTCAGTAAAGCTGAAGCTGGTGTGGACGTGTGATTGCCAGGAATTTGGCGGTTCAAATGATTCAAGTGGTGATTTTGTGTTCCTATCCACTGAATGGTCGATTTTTGTTGTTGTTGTTTTAACAAGGCGTCTGTAGAAAAATCAGTGGGTCGATGGGAAATTTCTTTTCCATCTAAAGCTGGTAAATGCTTGGACATTGCGTTTTCTAAATCCCTAACGGATGTGGCATCAGACGTGCCCTCTGCAATCGTTAAATTTGTTTTAGACATGTCTCGCTCAGCTGGTGATAAAGCCGCGCCGGGGTTAGAAGAAGATTTTCGTCTGTCTTCATCTCGTTCTTCGTCTTCACAGTCGGTGGTGTGCTTTCGCTTCTTCAATCTCCTCGCGGGCATTGGCGACGTTCTTTCTGGAGTGTGCAGAGGTAGAGGTTGGGTGTCATTCAGTCTAGTTAGTTGAGTTACGTCTGAAGTAGGCACAGGCGCTGTTGAACTAGAGTCTGCATTAGTTGCTGGCTCGGTCCTTTCTGTGTTGTGTCGGGGAGGCGGAGGAGGGCCACCAGAAGAATCTGCGTCTGGTGGACCATTTTCCGGGTCTCCTGTAGTTTCTTCACGTTTTACCCCTTGTACACTTTCTTCCAGCTGACAGCAATCCATCACAGTATTGGGATACTCGCGGCCGCTGCGAAATAAATTTTAGATTAATCAAATGTTTTTGATTTCCTACGATTTTGGTATTTCGTAGTTTCTTTCGAATGTAAAAGGCGGTGAGAAAAATATTTAAGAAACTTTACCTAATTGAGACTAAGTAGTCTCACAAGCCATTCATTAAGAAAAATAAACTTTACCTAATGACGTAGTTAACACAAATTATATTTTGTTCTTCGGCGTTCTTGGAAGAGCAAACGACTGTAGCACAAGTTTGCATCCAGGTGTACCCGCCGAGCTTGTTCATCACTCTGTAGTAGTGTGTCAGCACTTGGCCCTTGTTCATTACTGGAACAAAGAATTGCTACATGAACAAAACAGTAATAATATATATATATTTAAATAGATGTAACACATTTACAAGTTTATATACTGGAAGCCGCAAGGATATTTGGACTTATTTACAAAATACACTTTGGAAAAACAAACGTTTTCGAAACTTTAAGTTTCCTGCGACTTTTTATTAGTTTAACCCTTTTGCGTGGACCGACACATACTTGTTGTTAAAACAACCTATTCCATTATTTTATGAACTCTAACGAGCCTTTGGCGTCTCTTAACGTACCAATAGACGACAAGTCCGCTATAAGACTTATTAGCTCACCTAATTGTGTCCTTGAGTCGAAAATAAGTAATGCAAATTAGTGTCATTGTAGATTTCATACGATGGCATCCAATGTCGTTTGTAAACAAAATATTCAATAAGTAGATGTAATACGCAAGTGCATATTATATTCAATCGCGTACACAAAAGTCGGAGTGATGAACACGTGTATTGTGCTACGTGAGTCATTAAGACTGAGTCGCGTTTTGGTTTTGTTGTCGCATTGTTTATTGTTGTTGGCCATTTATTAATTAATGATTGCACTTGGAACTACGCCAATAAGTGAAACCTGAGCGCCATACTTTGTATGCTGATATTTTAATTACTGGGATATGTTTCAGTTTGATGCACCACTTAATCAAATTGTACATATGCAGACTATTCAATCCGCAGATAAAGGTTTGAGGTGTTGAATTTCTTTGTGATACTTCACTTTAGCTGCGTGGTCCAACATGTCTCAATCGCAACTATGTAATGTAATCAAAATAAATACATTTCTTGTCGTTTATACGACCATCATTTTTACGAGCATTCCAAAACGTCGCGCTTATTGTCGGAAGTCTCGAACTTCAGAATTAAATTTTATTGTCTTATGTACAAATTTGAATATATTTTTGGTTGGATGTCGTCAATAACTTCATCAAGTACCCCGATGGCGTAGTCACTCGTAACCAAATTACCCGCTTTCTAACAAACACCCGGACTTTTATGGTAATTTTCAAATTTGTTATTCTACACCCGATTTGTCCACATTTGATCGCCATCTATATTATACGTTTTAAATTCAAATGGAAGATCGCGTAAAGCCATCAACGGGTAAGGTGCTAGAAAAAATATCATTTGACTTTAACGCCGTTATCGTGATTGACTTTACAATCATCGGCCATCTTGAATTTTCTCACCTCGATTGGATGCAACTTTAAGACTCGCGATTGATTGAATCAGATTTTTCCATCGTTATTAAAATGAACGAAAACATCATACAACAGACGACGTACCTAAATACTGATACAAATCACGTGTAGAATCGTTAATCATTGCTTGGGGTTTACTCGGGGTTAAAATATTTTGTTGCAAACAAGACGTTTGTATTTGCATCATTTTCTTTACTATAAAGCTGATGATTTGACCCAGAAATCGTTGAAATCCTTAAGTTGGGACTGCCAAGCGCAAAAGACAAGTTTAAGACTAATTTCACAGCATGGGCATTTGACGACCGACACAAGCACCTCCGCTGACGCACGATTAGTAAATGTATAAGTAATAAATAAGAGTCACTGTATACTCAAGACATGCTAAATGTAGGTACAGCATGTAACTAAGTCGTGTCGGACCCGCAAGGACGGCAGTCAGTATCGGATTCTGGGTCTGAGTTAGGCTATTTTCTTTTTTAAACTTAATTGATTAGCAAGTTTTGAGACTAGGCTTTACAAAACACTACGAATCATGTAATTAATAGATTCAGATACTGACTGGTAGGGTTGTAACGAATATTCGCTTTCACGTTCGCGAAAGCGAGACTTTCGCACCATGTTAGATTCTCGCTTTCGCTTTTACTTTCGCATCTAATAATGCAAAAGTTTTAACGAAACGTTTTGTTACCCAGAAACACGTACGGACGTGCAGAACAGTCGCCGATCATGGGGGACTCGCTGCTTCGTCAGGCAGCGCCGGACACGATCAGATGTGGCATTTTTCTACGCATATCTCGAACTCCTGGCCAGGTTATAGGCTGTGTTCAACCATTTAATTGATCAATCATCGTCATTTAACATACAAAGAGATAAGACGAAAATTCGCATGGCAGTTGCAATCGCTTTGGCACAACAATGAAATTCCTTCGCAATCGCTACAACCCTGAGAACGTATTTCTGGTCCGACACGAGTAACGTTACATGCTGTATCATAATATAAAATCATATAACACGCAGGCATGTGTCAGTCTTACAGGCATAAAACGCACAAAGATAAAAGTAATGAAACAGGATTCAAGATCCTAAAAAGCACCAAAAGCTATTCCGAAGGACATTAAGGTATGACATTTCCCACGTCTGTAGTCAGGGAAAGGAAACCAAAATGATGGTATAAAAATTATTATTCAAATCACAATCCACATAGAGACGAGCCGGCGCATGGCGTCAGGCCTAAATTGTATTCCTCTGACGAATGCGTACAGAAGCCATATTATCATACGTATATGAGAAAGATTACATTATTTGAATAAAAATGTTTCGTGGTAATTTATATCAAATCACTAGTTATATAATTTCGGGTAAAAATGTTTCCTTCAATCAATCTGAAAACACTGAAATATTACTCAACTAACATTAGTACATTAGTGCTGAAATAAATGACATTTCTCCGCAAAGCGACACCTTAAAGACTCGAGAATGGTTTGAAAACAATGATTGGTAATGAAAGCTAAACGTACAGGAAAAAAATTAATTCAAAGGAAGAAGACAAAGAAACTTCGGACCGGTGCGGTGCTGTAAATTGTAAGCAAATTCCCAACAAATCGGAGCAAGTCGTAAATTTTCCTCGTAACGCCGCACTTACGCCTTGAGCTGCCAGTCCTCTTGACATGGATTTCTAAAGAGTACAAACTGAATACAAATCGGCAGTTACAACATTAACCTCAGAAGGATTTCACCACATATTATTGGGTCATGGGACGATACATCAGCGATCGTAAAATCCGATCGAAGTGTAAGGTGTTACAATGAGGTGAGTCTCAAGAATAACAATGATCTAGAAAGAGACATATTATGCCAATTGTGCTGAATATAAAAGTTATGTAAAAGTCATCTGAAAAACACTGTAGGTAGGTACCTATATGCTATAATTTACATATATGAATTAGAAAAGGATTAAGAAGTGCAGAAGGTACACAATTTAGTACATATTTCGTACAAAACCATATTTTTTAAAATTCTCAACACTCACAATCTACGTGACATTTCCTAAGCTTGTTCGCGTCTTCGCCATGGCAGAGTGCGTAGAGGTTTTTCCCTGTGAGCTCCTCCGCAGTGTATCCGAGCAACTCCGAAACCCTGCTGTAAATAATCACACAATGCATACCGGAAATTCATAACATTTGAGAGGTTGTATTCTATATCAGAATAACGATTTATTTTACTAAAACTTTAGTATTGGAACATGGAAAACCTGGGCTCGCAGTGCGCTATGCGGAAGTCAAAATTGATCCGTGTGACGAACATATCCGACTCTAATCGGATCTCGTGGACCGAGGGTGGTGGTAACGCAATGGCTAGAGCTACCATCCCAAGGAGAGCCGGTGGGGACTTCCGACTGTGAGAAAATGTGTACTGCGGCCGTAGACGGCACAGCATCAACACCACCTGCAAAGAAAAAAGTGTTTACAGAAAGAATGACGATAAAGTCAATATATGTGTTGAGCACAACATAGGCTGAAAAGTAACTGCAAATTCGAAATGGCTTGGATATAACTGCATCTTCTATGCTAATAAAACAATAAACTTAACTGAAGTAGCTAAGACATATTAACAAACAGAAACACAAAAACAACAACTGAAAGTCAGACAAAAAAAATCTTATTAAAACTTCTGATTTCATTGTCTCACAACAACAAACACGAAACGTGTTTCATATAAGAAAGATAAAGTTTTGGAATGTAACAAGGAAACTTTAAAAGGCTATTTATATTGCGGTAGAGTTTCCGAAATCACGTACTGTGCGGAGTCATATTCTCAGGTAATCGACTGTGAGTATCAAGGATGAACTAATTTACAATTTTCCTAATAAAAGCTTTGCCCGTGGGGTATTATCCTTAGCGAGGGAGGTAATATACGGGCCACACTAATTGCTCTGTCGATTCTTGCGCGAACTGTATGAGCCATTTAGATCGCGATTATAGAAATTATAGCTGTAAGTTACAGATTAGTTTAACGTTTTATGGCTTGTTCTATCCAGTTGTATTTCGATTAAATGTTCAACAGCGCATTCCATTCTTGCTTTAATATATATAACGTAATAGGAGTAATTTTCATTATTATTTAATATTTTTGCAGAAAGTATTTCTTAGCAATGAAACAACAACAAAGTGCACATACAATAAATAAAATACCACCTCTTCAAATAATACAGAAAGGAGGTTATGCAGCAGTTATAAAATAAAAACAGAATTTACACCCCGACGACAATCTGTTACGTAAAAATTTACGCACTTATCTATTATGATATTCGCAGGTCGGTTGAGATTTAATCGCATTTTATGTTCTAACACCGAGTTAAAGCAAAAATTATGGGCCGCAGGCCGTGGCTTGAGGCACCCCACGCGTTACAATAATTCTACCCAATAATATTTGTGATATCGGGCAGATAAAGAGCGTATTGCTATAAAACTAAAATAACGTGTCGAAGTCACAGTTATAAAGTTTAATTGGAATTATTCGAATACTTCATTGTTTTAAAGCCTACCATTACTATGGATATCATTGTTAAAATAAATTATATGTCCCTAAAGGTTATCGTTTCCTGCCTGACAACACTGTGCTTCATGATACCCACCCGCCAATTACCACTCTCTCCGTATCTTGATGGCTCACCCTCCTTGCTTCTTCCAACCTAGATTGAAAATGAAAATTCAGCGTCCATTTATTTTCTCATTCTAAATACTAGAAGATAAGAATAAAAATGTTCACAAATTTTCAGTCTTTTTCGTTTGCTAATGACTTTGAGATATTTCGTTTATTTTCTGCTCCCTTAGACCTTTTACTTCAGATAAGCGTAATACATTAAAATTATAGATTAGAAATATAATTTTCTATATTTCGTTATAGAATTGTTTGCTTACCCTATATCCCGAGGATTTAAAGTGGCAGCCACGTTTGGTGAGAGTACTCTTCATTCTGATGCAGAAAGCACGATCCATGCCTCGGTACAGAGCTCCACTTGCTGCTAGACTCATTTGCGATGACACTATGGGAATAAGGAAAACAAAATATTAACTTTACTGCATTACATACGAGTAGCAATCGAAAATCAACTATTGTAATTATAAAAATGGAAGTAAATTAATTTGCGTAAAATTAAATGAAATAAAACAAAATTAATTTAAGTAAATTAAATTAATCAAAGTAACGCCTGAATTTATTAATTGTTGTAATTATGACATTCTTGGGTCTGTTGTGAATAAAATTCTAATTTACATTAGAGAAAGGAAATAAATTGATTCGAATTTGAGAGTGATGGCCTGCAATAGGTAGTCTGGGCTAATTAAATGGTTGGAGGAACGATGGATCCCTTCAGATCAGGACCACGCTTTAATTGATTTCACTGAGCTTGCTTCTGGCCCCTGAGAAACTTACCAGTGGTTCTTAAAACTTTCTTTTGATAGTTCGATTGAATTCAGAAACATATGTTTTTGTCTTTTTGAGTTTTCGAATACAATACAATAGGTAGGATACAATAGGTAGGATTTTAAATTATAGATTAAAGTTAAACATTTTTTGAACTTAATAATAATGTGCCAGACAACCACACCAATTACCTGGTCTCGAACTCGAGATTACTATATTAAGTAATTCCCTATACTACATATAATAAGTACCTACTAGAGCGAACGGAATTCATTCTGAGGCATTTCCCAGAGCACCAGTAGCTGAAACAATTTAGAAAAGTTCATTTTCCAAATTGTTCCTACCTTGAATTAAAACCAGGACCTCTTCATCCAGCACCCACAATGCAAACCGTTGGACCACCGAGTGAGAATCGTCCTTGTAATGTACATAATATGTTGTGGTAAAGTTAATGTTATATTTTGCAAATAGTAACCTCCTAAAAGACAGCAAAATCTATTTCAAACAGCAAAAAAGTGTTAGCTAGAACGCCTGACAATAAGTATTTTTTACAAAACCGCATCAATCGCTCAATCTTCGTTATTGGCCTAACAATTTCCATTGTGATGATTGCTGTTGAATCACGCCTTTGTGCAGTATCAAATGCGAATAGGGTTGAGTCAGGACATAGGCTATTGTTCTAACTTTGGCACAAGTTGGTTTTCGTGAAACACAGGCTCTTGGACAACAGTTTAATCTATCTATCGGTAGGTGCCGTTTCATCAGAATTATGTTGTTACAGTCTATGAAATATGCTACGGTATTGTGTTGGCATTAGAAGGAGTAAGTACTTGCGCTCCAACAAAAACTAATATGAACTGTAAAGTAAGAAGGGATCTCCAATTTGAAACCCCAGGAGAAACTAATCAATTCCGAAAGAAAATTTTTGTCAGCGACCCCATCAGACAGCGAGAAAAGTTTAAAAACCGTAGACGTGGATCAATCTTTTGGCATGATCAGGCTCTCGAACAGAAGTGCACGCCTATCAGGTGACAATGTGCATCTTATCCACGGACCACTGTTCTGTGACTTCATTTCACCACGGCTGTCACCATACAATAGCTTACTGTCACACCACCTCGATCCTGATTGATTTTTTCGAACCGACTTTTTACACATCCAAGAGTAAATTGAAAACGACTAGCTAAGTATTCATGGTACTAAATTAAAAAACCCTTAGCCATTATGTCGGAAAAAAATGGGTCAAATGTGTTTTTCGTTTCGGGCAAATTGATTTAAAATCTAGTACAAATTATGGATCATTATTTTTAGAAATTGTTTATATTATTTATGTAACTAAATTCCCGTAACGTGCACTCGTGTTGTTGCATTATTCCCCAATTTGTAAAATATTTTTTTTATATTATTTATTATAACAAGTGCAAAACTCTAGATGCTCGCCTAGTCTCTAGCCTCCAATGAGAGCGAGGGCTAATTGCTGTTTGATTGTAATATTAGATTTATAGGAACGAGTGAACTTTTGTGCACTTACTTATGTGTTTCATTATTTTTTTACCAAAGAGTGACTTCCTGACCCCTAAATAGTATTTATTACTAAAACTTTGCGTTTGAAAGGAAAGTACAGGATCATACAGCTTCATTTCTTTAATTTGAATAGCGTAATTTAGTAAAAAAACATACAAATCGTCACTGTACCTAAGTTATCATAAGAACTTATAATACGGTGTTCGATTCGCAGTGGCGCCAGAATTTCAATAAATTATTTTGTTACGTTCCCGTAATAGCGAAATGAAATATTTAATCAATTGGTACAACGGTGCGTACACTGACGCCCCAGTGACCATTTCATGAGGTCCCAACACACCGTGAACGGTCCATAATCTAATTTCAATGTGGTCCACAACTTATTATAGAATGCTTTGAGCGATTCGATACAGCGAGTGAAATTTTTGGGATCGGTATTGTCGCTGATTGAAGAAGGTTCAACGGCCTCAAAAAGAAGGAAACTAATTGAATTCTGAACAGTTTTTTCTCGTTTTTGTTGAGGGGAGATAGTTAAGTAATCGTCGTATTTTCTACATAGAAATGTTTTAAAATTAGGGTTCTAAATACAATGAACACGGACACAATAAAAATGGAACTTTCGACCTACTAAAACGAGGAAAGAGAGACTCGTTTCCAATCTTATCTCTTCAATACAATTTGTTTGTGACATACGTGGATAAATGAACGGGGGATAAATATTCAGTACTTACGAATTACCTACCGTTCTATGAATAAGGACTTACCATCTGGGTTATTAGTACCATGTTGACTGCCCTCTTCGCTGCCTGAGGCAGGGCTGTTAAGCCCCGCGCCCGATGACCGACCCGCCAACGACAAGCCCAGCTGTTCAGCAATTTCCGCGTGGTCGCTTGCATGCACGTAGTCGAATATACTGCTGCCAGTCATCTCTACCTGATAACAAATTTACATGAGGTTTCTCCAAGAAGTCCTTTACGATAGATCAAGTCTAAATATATATACTCTCGTATCTGCGTTTAGTTTCACCTCTATATTTTCTATTTGAAAGAGTATTTAAGTTACAAGTTGTAAATTTATAACATAAATTTATAATTTGTAACATAGCAGGGTCTTGGTTAGGGTCAAGATCCTTAAGTCCCAACATCCTAATATCGACTTTATCCCAATATAAATCTCAGCAATACAAAAATAGAAAATGAATAACTTAATTTTGTACTATTCTTCCTAATGTAACATTTAAACTTAGTTAGGTACCAACTCAGTTGTGTGATACTCGTCCAAAAAACCAGTTGCAACGCCTGAATGGTGCAATGGAAACTTGTCACGTACACTGTCATCGTTTTGATATGAATGAACTACTGTTATCAAGCATCGCATAGCAGGTGGCTTCATAGAAACAACACAAAACCTCGGATGCAACGAGGATGGGCTTTACGATGGGACAATGGGAGAAAATAATGTTTAACGGGGCTCCAAACGTCATGATGAAAGCTGGCAAAGTTTCAAGTTCGTCGTAAACAGGCAGTACACTAAAATTTATTACAACCCTCCTTTACCATATTAAAAATTAAAGCCTTTAATATATTTCGAAACATTTCTTTGACTGACCCTTTCACAGCTTATGTAAATAGCTCTTTAAATAAATTTATCAAATATAAATTGTGAGACCCTATTACACATTCAAGTAACGTGTATCCGCAGTCAAGTCTTGCATGTGAATCCCAGAAACAATGGTGACATTACGGTGGTCTTTTCTGAGAAAGATGCTAAGGATTTTATGGTGTTTACTGATTCGCCGATTGATGGGCTACTTTGAGGATGATGGCATGTGACTGGAAATCTTCCATAAATCGCGATTAGGTGTGAGCGTTCCACACAACACAACTCAATGGTTCACACATTCGAAATTGAATCTATAGCCCCTGGTTAGGTACTAAGGCATCATGAATTTTCATGTCAATTTAACTAGCGAAATTCGTTTCATATTTCGCGTTTATCTTTCAATAACCTGCTAAAAATGCCTACGATGGTAATCCAATCTTTCTTCGGGCATCAACAAAAAAGCGACACGTAAATAATTTCCCCGGAAAGGCCGAAACACATCACAACAAAAAATAAAGTATCCATTTTCTTCTTTTATCTATAAAAGAAAAATATGATTTCCCATTGTCGACGTTATCATCAGTCTTTACTGCGGACCCCGAAAAAATACCCGCAACAGAATTTAATATAGCAGGAGCGTCTCTAACACAAGCCTTACTTATAAGAAAGTTGTATCTACGCTTATTTACCAGGAAGTTTATGTATTTTATATGTGAACACACACAGGCGTGTGGTGAAGAAGACTTATGGATGGTAGTGTGTCGTTGCCGGGAAGGTGTTTAGATGTTGTTGGCGGCGCGGACGGGTGTGAGTACCGCGCGCGGCCGTGTGTGAGTGGTAAGGTTCGCAGCCGCATTAGAATGAAGAGCACGCGCGCGCCTTGCCCGGGACGTGACCGGCATATCGCATCGTCCCTTTCCCCCCATTTTGCCTCTCTCTCTCTTCACCCCCGAAGCCAGCCATGTTGGAAATGAGAATTTCCCAGTTTTCGGATCTTCTCAGTGCCTTTTAATTTTGTTCTTACCTAATTTTATTTATTAAGACACTTACAGGCGTAATATTCCTACATTTACTATTTAGTGAGTACTTTCGTCTTTTGATATAGGTAATTAGCCACTAAAATCTCTGGCGTAAATTCATATTCGTACCGAAATTAATATTTAAAAAATCTTTAGAAAACTCTTTCAACTGCACACTACTATTATGTAAGCCACGCATCGTATTAATAAAGCACCACTAAAAGTTACTTTGATAAACAAGTAAGTAAGTCCTCCCAAGAAACGCAACCCTTTACAAAGATCTGAGTAGACAAAAAATTGATAGGTAAGTATAAAGGCAGGCCACGTAGGAGGCATAACTCGACACGTGTTAAGGAGTTATCTGCGATCTGGTGCAGTTACCACCGGATGTCTTTCTAGCGCCGCCGAAAATTTCAGATACTATCGTTTCATTGTGTACCGACTCTTTAGGAATGTGTGTGTATGTCAATGAGACGCGTTGCTATTATGTGCTAAACAATCTAGGGGGAAACCTAACGGAAGTAGGTACCTCAAGGTGAACTTACAGGTCCAATTTGTCGTGTTTTTCATATCCGATGAAGATCGATTTCATCCTGAAATGTCCTTATAATATTATCTTACTACTTGGTACTTGGTGTAACGGGCTAGTGTCCGCAACTCGACGTCAAGGCGCCTATTTTGCGTGTAAATAATAATATAATATTATAATATTATATTTATCTTTTTGTCTTTGTTTGATCTTCAGGTTCTCGCCATGCGATAGCGCCTGTCTGACGTGTAGTACTTAGAAGAAGTAATACCTTATAGTCACAAAATTGTAACTTAACTATAAAATTTTATTTATGGACGACGTCGAATTAAATATCAAAACATTTTAATACTTATACACGCTTTATGCGCCTAATAGTCGATGAAAATTTAAATTCCGTCATTTGGTAGATATGACCCATTTGAGGTTTAATTCGAAAAATTATATTATGGTTCCAGGGACTCTTCATCGAGGTTACTTTAATTCATTAAGATATCGCATACAATCGCAAATAACTACAAATTTCATCTAGGTATTACAGGGGTTTTGCAAGCCGGCTTAAATCCTTTTTGCCATAGTCGTCCCAGCCTCTGTCACAGTTTTTTCGGGCTCTATAGCAATAATAAAATCTTTCTCTATTTAAAGAATGATATAACCCTATCTTTCAAACCAAAACAAACATTATCGTGTAATTTTTTCTGTTCTTGTCGCTGTCTGATCTACGAGCAGACCAAACAAATTTTTATTCCGTGACTAGACACTGGCAAGTTTTTCGTAGTAAAACGCCATTTGAAGCGTCTTAGGCGAAATTAAAAGTTACATGGTTGATCTGGATGATGGCAATTGATTCTAAATTCTGTGCGACTTACTATTATGCCGAAACTTTCATCATTTTGTGCAAAAGCAGGAAGCAAAAGAAAGATAAATTTATAATTTTAAGGACACACCAAAATCTCAAACTAAAAGAAAAATAACTAATATGAGAGATTGCACAAGTGTTGTACCAAATTGAATTAATGACATTGTCATAAATGTGTAGCGGAGTGTAGAACAAAATATTTTGATTTTGGTCATAATTATATGGTTGAGGAGTCTACACGAAATGTGCGTTTTCAATACGATCCAAAAACAATGCTTCGATCCAAATACAGAAGATGAGGACGTTACTCGTGGACTGTTAGAAATACTTTATATGTCCCTACATCAAACTAACTAACCCGTTAGTATGTTTAAAGTTACTTACTTGTGATAATCCTAAGTAAATAGAAACGGTTTCGGATATGTAGAGAAATCTTCCGTCGGCTGCTACTGACAGCGCGAACCCATCGAGACTCTGTGAACAAGAACAAAAACCTTATAAAATTCCTTAACACAGTCAATAGCCTGATTATTTGTAAAATAAGAGATAGCAAACCAATAGCCACTAGTGTCACTTTGATATATGTATATATAATTTAATACAGTGATGTGTTTGGTGAAGCTCACAGAAGCTGAATCAATCAGAAACACTTTACAGATTTTTTACTTTAGTCTCTGCATACTTGAATAATTTTTCTATTGTCAAATTTATTTTTTTATTCTATTTCAATACCTACAAGTTATATAAGATATGATTCTGATTTATGCTGAGTGAGTCAGTGAAGTCCATACTAAGTGAACAACTTTCATTTCATCAAACATTAGCAACCCACTAAATGTCCGTTTTATTATTCCTTATTAAAAAAACCTTTATAACAATTACAGTATTGCATTAATATTTAGCCCCTATATAGTCCCACTGTTGGGCATAGACGCAACAAATAATGTTAGTAAATAAATATCACAGTTTACAAAAATAACAAAAAATTACCAAAAAATAGAATAGGCGACGTGTTCATTGGAGGTATAGACCTGTACTTTAATATCATACATAGAAAAGTAAAACGTGTGCATCGTAAATAATGAGTTTCATAAAAATTAAGTATCATAAATTATTGTAGTACTACTTTAAATATTTTGATTATCAGGGAAAACATTGTAAATAAAAAATGTATTTTTGTTCATTCACAGAAAAATAGTAGTAGGTATTATATCAGTTAATCAACCATTAATTTCGTTGCCGTGGCGAGTGAATACTAAAAAAGTCAAACAAACCCGCCTGTGATGACGAAAAACGATCACCACGAGTCGTTGCCACGACTATATAGCTACTGGATGTGAACAAAACTCTTTAAACTGTGTAATGTCACCGCTTATGTTCGTCCCGTCACTGGTACCATAATAAAAAATATTACGATGGCTAGTTTTATTTAGACACGTGATTCGTATTAACCTTCTAAGGCCCCGTGTACATCAAAACATACGTAACATGTGAAGTGATTCAAACCCAAACAACATGATTTCTATGATCACGTAAACGCCCAATTATAATGAAAATATCGTATTCAAATTTAGCACTATAATATATTCTATATAACCATAATCTTGAAAAATACGTTTAACATATAAAACTGATACTTGCTTGAGCCTGAAGCACCAAGTATTTAGTACACTTTAATATAACATTAAAGTGGTGGTGGGTAACAAAAAAGGGGGGTGTCGGGGCAAAACACCAACTTAATGTCCCAAAAGTCGTCCTCTTCTGCACGTGGTGCACCCTGCCGGCAACAGATGACGGTATATCCATCTACAGGCCGAGTCCTAAGTACCCTGGTCAGCGGCGGGCAGCAGCGCTGTTGACGCGAGACTCGGTACTGTGCTCACCTACCCGTTTGCCCAGCGTGGTGAGTATGGTATTAACCCCCAAATGTCAAAGCCAAGGAAGAAGCGGCCCCCAGTTCCCGGCCGTCTTACAATTCCGGGCCAAGGCAGCGGCCACGGTAACGGTGCGACGAATCCCCGGGTTACGGCTGCCACAAATTGACCATGGCAACGTATAACGGACGCAGTCTGCGGCTAGACGAAAGTTTGATGCAACTCGAGGTGGAACTAGAGAAAATAAGGTGGCATGTGATAGAGTTGTCTGAAGTTCGAAGACAGGGGGAGGGGAGGACACGACTACTCTAGAATCTGGCCACCTATTCTACTTTCGAGAGGGCGACCAACTATCCCAAAGAGGCGTAGAGTTCCTTGTCAACAAAGTTCTCGACAACGTGCTGGAGGTGTCCAGTGTATCGACTCTGGTAGCGTACCATGTCCTGAAGCTAAGAGCCGAGAGATATTCTCTCAAGGATGTACAGGTATATGCAGCGACGTCGACATTTTCGGACAGTGAGGCCGAAGCCGTGTAGGAAGACGTGAGAAAGGCTCTACACAACACCACCAAGTCGCACTTCACCGTTGTTATGGGGGACTTCAATGCCATAGTGGGAGCGCGTGAATGCGAGGAATCGTGCATCGGACAACACGGTATTGGACGGCGAAACCAAAGGGACCAAATGCTGGTAAACTTCCTGGACATGCAGGGGCTGTTCTGCATGAACACTTTCTTTAAGAAGAAGCCCCATAGAAAGTGAACCTGGCAAAGCCCCAATGACATTACGAAGAACGAGATCGACTTCATCTTGACGGACAAGAAGCGTATATTTAGGGATATATCTGTGGTCAATAGGTTTAATACCGGTAGCGACCACAAACTCGTAAGAGGTACCCTAAATATCGACTTCAAGGTCGAGAGAAGCCGTATGATGAGATCTTTTATTAGTCCAACGCTGCTCCAAACCATGCATGGCTCCGAAGCGTTCCAGTTGAAACTGAGCAATCGCTTCGCTTTGCTGGAAACCACGGCAAATGTTGACAAGGATCCTTGAAGGTGTGGTAGAGGTAATTCGCGAAGAGGGAATTTAGACACTTTAGAACACAGCGAGGAGCCCGAAAGACCAACACTCGACTGAGACTCTGGTATTGATGAAGACATGATGATGGATACCAGAGGAAGCTTCGTCAGATACCCGTCGTCTCAAGAAAGCCAGCAAGTCGGTGAGACGCGACCTCCGCAGCTTCAATACGCAACTCATACAAGAAGATATTGGAGGAATCGGGGGTCGAAATTCTTTACAAAAAGACAGGGTAGCTGTCAACTGACGACGGTAAAACTGTCACATCAGTTCCAGAAATTCTCGCAGAAGTCGAGGACTTTTACAGCAGTCTATATGCCTCGCGTGCTCCAAAGCCACCACCCAACGCGAACGACGCAAGAGCCACACTTTCACGCCACTTCACAGACGAGTTACCGGAAGTGGACGAAGACGAAATTGGGAGGGCTTAATAATGGGAAAGCTCCCGGCGAAAACGGAATAACCTCTGAGCTTCTCAGGACAGGAGGAGACCCAGTGTTCAGAAAGCTCAAGGAGGTATTCAACGCCGCCATAGCCAATGGGACTACCCCGGAAGCATGGAGCAGAAACATGGTAGCCTTGTTTTTTAAGAAAGGCGACAAAACCATTTCTCAGGAGCGCGATAGGTCTGTCAGAGCCATGTTATAAGCTGCTTTCGAGAGTCCTCACAAATCGTCTCACCGGAAGATTTGACGCTTTCTAGCCACCGGAACAGGTAGGGTTTTAAAATGGCTATAGAAAAGTGGACCACATACACATTGTTCGACAGATTATACAGAAGTCCGAAGAGTATAATCTGCGACTGTGTCTAGCATTTTGTGGACTACGAGAAAGCCTTCGACTCCATCGAAACCTGGGCTGTTCTGGAATCATTGCAGCAATGCTAAGTCGATTGGCGGTACGTAGAGGTGCTGAGAAATCTGTACAGCAAGGCCACGATGTCCGTCTAAGTACAAAGCAACAAGACAAGACCCATCCAGTTGCACAGGGGCGTGAGACAGGGACAGTGTTCTCTCTCCAAAACTGCTCTGAAACTCTCTTTAAGACACTTGTTTGGACCGGATTGGGCATTAATGTCAATGGCGACAATCTCACACACCTTCGCTTTGCCGACGACATCGTTATAATGGCAGAATCGCTGCAGGTTCTGCAGAAAATGTTGAACAGCCATAATGAGTCAGCATTAATGCTGCCTCATTATCGGTCGGTCTTCGGTTGGATTTTGGATTCTTGTTGAAAACGTCTTGTTCAATGAGCTCGTCATCCCGGAACCGATCTCGATTAATGGCGAAACGCTCGAAGTTGTCCGAGAATATGTCTACCTCGGGCAAACCCTGCAACTAAGCAGAGAGAACTTCGCGCGTGAAATAGCTAAGAAAGTGCAGCTGGGTTGGGCAGCATTTGGGAAACTCATGTCTTCTCGTTACCACTCCTGCAGTGCCTGAAGTCCAGGTTTACAACCAATGCGTCCTACCGGTCATGACTTACGGAGCCGAGATGGAAATATAACGGTCAAACTGGCTCACAAACTACATGTCGCTCAGCGAGCTATGGAAAGGTCTATGCTGGGAATCTCGTTAAATGACAAAGTCCGGAACGAAGTTATCCGACATAAGACTATAGTTGTGGACATCGTCCAGAAATGTAGCAAGTTGAAGTGGCAGTGGGCTGGCCACGTCTATCGCAGAACCGATGACTGATGGATTAGACTGGTTCTCGAGTGGAGACCACGCCTCGGCAAATGTAACGTAGGACGTCCCTCTGCAAGATGGACCGATGATCTGAAGAAGGTAGTAGTAGGTAGTGGTTGGATGCGGAAAACGGGTGATCAGGCACTATGGCATATACTTGGCTCCCCACTGCTTATGTCCAGCCGTGGACTGCAATAGGCTGATTGATTGATTGAATATAACATTATATTTTTATAATGTTATATTCAATCAATCGCCCAATGTTATATAATTTAACAATATAATATTAGGCGTTTAGCGCTCTTCTTATTATAGTTTGCTGGGATTTAGGAATTGAGTATGAAATGTAAAAGATTAGAACAACACAACAGTTTTCAATCATGTAATTCATCGCCTTGTCTCTAATAATTGAACGTGGTGACGATTAATACTAAGCTATATTCCGGAAGCAGTCAGATGTGTCGACTCCGCTCGTATACCCACTGATGTATTCCTTACCTAACCAAAACTAATACGCCATCTAGCAACATATAAATCGATAGCGCCTCAATCTTTATTTTAATGAGAAGCACGGTTGACAAAGTACCTATTCTCAAGCTGAATAAGCTTTTTTGTACGAAATTTGCGTCTAAACGGTAGATGACGATAGTGTGAAATAAGAATAAAATTTTGGATTAAGCCCCTAATAGACTGCGGTCCATGTTGTTTTGTTATTCTTTACTCAGCCGCGCTCTGTACGTGTGCCTAGTTTATTGAAGCTTTTATCTACTTTTTCTCGATACTTAATAAATTTTTGATTGATTGATAGTTGTCATCACCAGCTTAGTAGCAATAAAAAACTAATAGGAACAACGCGGAATATCCAATTTGAGGAAGATACGAAAATTAAGTTTTTGCCTTCAGTGTTTTTCGTGTTGTTTTTGTTTATGAAACTGTGCCAACTGTGCCCTTGCTAACTACTCTCTCTATATCCGGATAATTATGGAACTAATAATTTTGCAACAGCAAACAACCTGCAGGCCTCGTGCGTGCACGTCCTTTGTTTTTTTCAAGCAAAACGTACAACTTGTCCCGCAAAGTTACGTTTACACATAAAAAGCCGACTCAAGGAATCACGTACGCAACCGTTTTCAGTCCGCAGTCCGCAAAATAGAAAACCGCAGCACCCACAATATTGTAATGATGGAGAATCGATTGCACAAATCGATATAATTTACGCGATCGAATGATATTATAATAGATTTTTTTTTTTCGAGAACCCTGTCAAAGTGCCCCAGAGTATGTACTATTCTATTCTATTAATTTTGTGATGAAATTTTAGTGAAATCGGTGAAATATTAAATTGGTGTTTCGTTATTTTGGTGTGTGTTGCGGTCGATCTATTGTGCGCATGCTATTGTATGAGTAAGCGGTAAAAAAGCGTGAAGTTGGCCAGCGATTGCGCAATACAAAGTCAAGTTCGAGTATAGAAAGGCTTTGTGTATGCTTTTTGGAGCATTTTTTGTCGAACGAGTTATGAAAGTAAACAAACAAACAAACGAATTGGTTTAATGTCGAAATTTTTGGCCTTTCTGACCGCGTACTGAATATAGTTGTTACGCACCTGTAGTATGTGGGTACCCTGATGCTGCTCAAACAACTCCATCGCAAGACCAATGGGTGTTCGTCTGCTCTGAGCTCCTGCAACAAAAGAATACGAATTTGTATACCTTTGTTTAAAAGAGTCATTAAAATTACACACTTAAACAGTTTAAATTAAATATATACAAGGAATATTGAATTCAGTTTTAACATTATATCATGAAGAAAAGAAAAAGTCAAGAAACCTGGCCGATGCAATCGTCATAAAGAAGTCGGGTGCGCACAGACAACCCGCAACCCGACACCGTCAGATAGCATCGCGCATGCGCATGACGGATCGAACATGGCCGGCACAGTAGCTACAACTTTATTGAGAAAGCCCTTGTTCTCGTCACGACATTTTAATTTTCTGCACGCATTGTAAACTATGTATGTATTATTACTACAAATCTGTCTCTACAGTTGAACCACAGAATATGGACCTACAACTGTTTGTGAAGATTTTGATTTAACCTATGCTAATCATTTCACTGCAACGACATCATAAATTCGTATTTTTAAGCAAGTACGAAATAATAAAACGTTTCGACAGCGTTTCATTAAACCACAGGACGTGTACAATTTTCAAGCCTCTGTGTAATATTTTCAAACCATTGATGTAAACCTGGATTAGAAATTTGGGCACGTTTTGTCCATACCTACATTTATTACAACTAAAGATTTTCAAGACAATAAATTGACTTCACTAGCAATGTATTTTTAACAGATATCTTAGTTGTTATCAAATATGAACTTTACCGGCATTTTACCGGGTTTTAATTTATTGACTGTCAGTATGTCTCACAACCATGAAATTGTATTCTTTTTTGTGAAATTACTGTACTAGTTTGTTATAATTATTAATACAACAAACAGTTAAAAAAAGTTTCTTCGATCCGGCTGGATTGGAACCAATGTCTTCTAGCAAACCGTACTAGACGCTATGCCAACTAAGCCACAGAACAAACAGGGGACCTTACGAATTTTTCTATGTGCTTGTTGCAGATCTTTTTTTTATATTTAACGACTTATTTGCCATAGCGCCATCCGTGAGAAATCTATTTCTTCACCTCTCTTTCTTCAAATGTAAAGAAAAGCTTCTTTACCGGGTTTCATTTACATATGTAACTTTTCAAAAAGTATGTTTTACTTTCCTACAATAAATATTTCAATAAAGAATTTTAACAACAGCTTTAGCATTAACGCAAATATATAAAACTTGATTAAGGGTGTCCTTAATCAAGTCTTGTACGCAATGATGACGCTCACTCCTGTAAATGTATCCCATGACGTCATTTTGAAGAGTAAGTTAACTCTTTAACGTGACATTACTTTTGACTTTGTGATGCTAATCCTGTTGAAGATATTTTTTGTTACTTTTGATGCCGATATACAAAAATCAGCGAACTGCTTGTAGTTTAAATTCATTCTTACATTGAAGTTCTATTCAATGTTGCCTTTTGGAAGATCGACAAGCGGGGATCACATATTGGGAGTAAAAATTTTGTGACATTTCACCGTTGTTGTCAACGAAAGTGACTGCAACAAGTTTTGGGTAATAATGGTTAAAACGTCCATTGAGCACAAGGACACGCGCCGGCCGTCGATCGTGACAGCAGTTCGTGACGTCGGCGCGACGGTACAAACAAACATACAGACACGACGCGCGTAATGCTACGATTTGATGCTTGCAAGGAAATTGTCAAGCAGCGAGCTCTCACGAACTTCTATACGTAATTTGCCGGATTGTGATTTAAATTAGCGGCTACGAGTTTTTTTTTTAACTAATTTTCAATTGTTCGCAGCCTCAGCGACAGACGACAACTAGACAATTTATGTCTTAACATCGTGATCACCCATTCCCCTTTCTCCGTTTTTGACAAGCAACATTTCAGTAAGGAGTGTACTTTAAAAAAATACATAGTAAATATTTCAATTGATATGAACTGTACATGTTCAATGGTCTATTGTAAGTCGTCGTGATATGAAATCAGGGGAAAAAATTACTTTAGAATGTCTTTATCTCAGACCGATAGTGTACGTGAGCTCTAAAAACATAAATATAAGTTTACTATTCTATAAATTATTGAAATCTTATCTAAAAAATAAAATAATTTAAGTAGCAGTAGAGCTCACCAATTTCTGTCGCCAAGCAGTAATATGAGCATTACTACGTTTTGGTTTTGAAGGGTAAGAGTGCTGGTGAAATTACTGACAAATGGTACTTGTCAAGTTATGTCTCAGGATGACGGCGGATGTGGCAGTGCCTCTCAGACCTTTGCGATTTAAAGCGCTGAGTGGCACTACAATTGTTTTGAATAGGCGTGTTGCTTACCTAGCACCAGGTTCACAACTTCTTCGTCCCGGCACTTGGTATCATAAAAAAGTAAAAAATAATACACTAATATAAACAATACACAAAGTATAGAGTACGAAAATATCGCTGTCTATGTAAATGTACGTGACTAAAAGTTACATGTGAGTTACAACTTATAACTGTACCAAAACTATGTGAACATGATATTATTTTGTTAAAAAATAGTCTACATTGAAAACAGTTATACAACGTAACAAATAGGTAGGAACTTTCGCAGATTGTTTAACTTTACTTTTGCTGAATGACGTGAGTCTCTACATTTTTAACTCACTTCAAAAAAAAGAGGATTGTGGGATGTGGGAGGATTGTGAACCGATCCCCGATTTCAATAAAACTTGGCAAATAGATGCAATTTCACGAACTTTTCAGGTCGGTTTTTTAGTACTCTGTACTGACGTATATTAAACGAATATTATATTCATTCTTATCTTGATATATGTATTTCTAGGCCGTTTTCGGTTTTTAGTCAATTTCGTTTATTTAAATATAGAGTAAAACATCAAACAATATTATTCAGAGAACATTAAACACAAGAATATAGGTTCTATTTCTTTATGATTTACATGTTTCAAATAATATTTCAACAGTTTTTAGGGTAAGCCTATATTTATATTTTTAAAGCTCACGTACCACTATCGGTCTGAGATAAGGCCATTCTGGAGTAAGTTTGTCGTATAACTTTATAATACGACGGTTTATGAAATACTCGTAGATGATCGTACATTAATAGTTCTATGTTTTAATTTACTCTAATTTCCATTATTAATTAACAATAAGTTTAACTTGACAACAATTCATATTATTAAAATAAAGTAATTTGTAAAACATAATGCAGCGTAAATTGGAATGTTTCTTTGTAAAATTAAAAATAGTATTTAATTAATAACTTTTGAAACTATAGTGAAAAATAGGGTAGTTTGCATTAATATTAGACATAACTGGTTGATGACTGTACCACCGCAGTCAACCGTGACCATGGCACCTGTAAAGGGCCCGAAACGTTGGATTGTTTGAAAAAACAAATATACGCGATTTAAATCCGGAAAAATAGTTTCATTTCCTATGTGTAACAATCGCGAAAATCTAAGAACTCGATATTAATAGTTCTTTTTAACTTTATTTTTTGTAAGTCCACTCCTTAGTAAAATATTGTGACTTGTACTGTAGAGCAACCTCTGCTAGAAAGTAGTCAATATATTATCATGAAGTATGGCGTCTCTGTGGAACCTGCAAGTCGGCGTATCAAAGCGAAATCCTCTCTTGTTTGTTGAATTAAATCGCAATAAAACATGCGGCCGGTAGTATCGCAACATCGCGCCGTTAAATATGGCCTGTGCCCCAAAACCGTGGCATGTGAACTTTTTTGTTACTTTATCTGTGTGAAAATTTAAAGAACGAGCTCATGAGCTATGCGACTTGTAAGAACAACAGGCCCATGCGGCACATTTTAACATGAGATTAAAACTTAGAAAGTGAATTTGTATCCAAAAAAACTACTTTAACGAGTAACTTTAGGCACAAGTTACACTGCTTGGCGCCACAAGATGCTCTACTGCTACTAAAGTATGTTATTTATTTTGTTTCCTTTTCATTATGTATCTCCTTTTTTACAGTCAAGAGTACATCAATTTTAATATATTGCACTTTGAACCTTTTATTATTGTAAGTGGCATAGACTTGAAAATAAATATAAAGTGACAAGCTTACTGTACTTGTATTTTTAGCTTGCTGTATAGCAGGAAAATAATACATCCATTTATTTTACTCCATCAACCCCTAGATAGCCGAACAAATTTTTATTAAGGCCGCTAAGACTTCCGTATAATTTTCGCATTATAACTAGCGCGGTGTGGTTATTACCCTTAAGTCAGATATTGTCATCATTATGGTTGTAATTTGTTGAGGCGTTAGATCTTAATTAAGTTTGAGTATTAATCTTGAACATTTTTATTTCGTTCAGTAATCACGAATAAAAATTTGTTTTTCCATACGAATTATTCCTACTGAATCAAAATGTATAGAAACTATAGTTTTTCTTCGCTTTTAGAGAACTGTTGAAGAGGTTGTAAGCCGCTAATGTACCGTGACCAGCAATAAAACAGACAGAGTTCACGGCAATAAAATAGAATACTCCGGTCCACATATCTTATTTCATAAGTAAAGTTGAAAGAAAAAAAGAAAGGTCCGAAAGGGCCGAGTTATACAATATAACCAGGTTACATTGGTATTACAATTGGCGCATGATTTAGGTTGGGTATGGGGGCCTACCATAATCTTTCAAAAAACAATCTTATTTTAAAGTAAGCTTATAGTAAGCTTATTATAATATTCCTCATATTCTTACCATGACAAACCTATCAACCAAGTAATGTATTATTGCTAAAGTGCCTGATAGAACGAATGATTTCCCAATATTGTCTATTCCTTACTAAAAGTAGGACAGAAATAACGCTATATGAACTGTGTAATGCCATCTCTTTCTTTTTTGATGTTCCGACTACCGAATCGTCCTATCGTAGTTTTATGTTAAAGTACTTAATATTATTTACATTTTGCAAAATTTTAACTGCCCAAAAAAGAAACTTATGTAATAATGAAATATATTAAAATTGCGTTGTTTTCAATTATTTTTCCGCATTTTCTTGAAGAAAAATAAATAAAACAAGCTGAGTCTTGATAGTCA